GAAATACAGATATCTATTTGAGATCCTGATTTCAATTCTCTTGGATATATACCCAGAGGTGGGGTTGCTGGATTATATGGTCGTTCTATTTAAAATTTTTTGAGGAACCTCCATAATGTTTTCTATAGCAGCTGCACCATTTTACATTCCCAACAACACTGCACAAGGATTTCAGTTTTGCCACAGCCTTACCTATACTTAACTTTAAAAAAAATAAGGGTCATCTTGACATTTGTAAGGTGATATCTCATTTTGGTTTTGATTTGCATTTCCCTGAAGATTAGTGATACTGAATAGCTTTTCATACACCTGTTGGCTATTTGTCTGTCTTCTTGAGAGAAATGTCTTTTTGAGTCTTTTGCCCATTAAAAAAATTTGTTGTTGTTGTTGTTGTTGTTACTGAGTTTTAGGGTTCCTTACATATTTTGTATATTAGCCACTTATCAATATATGGTTTGCAAATATTTCTCCCTTTCCATAAAGTGCTCCATTGCCATACAGAAGCTTTTTAGTTTGATGTAATATTATGGGTCTATTTTTGCTTTTGTTGTCTGTGTCTTTGGTGTCATACCCAAGAAATCATTGTCAAGTCCAATATTATGAAGCTTTTTCTCTACATGTTCTTCTAGTAGTTTCACACCTTCTGGTATCATGCTTAAGTCTTTAATTCATTTTGAGTAAGTTTTTGTGTATAGTGTTCAATTTTATTCTTCATGTGGTTTTATAATATGCAAAATACGGAAAAGAAAGTTAAGTGACAAATAAATAAATTGTGGTATATTCATACAATTAAATATTACTCAGCTTTGAAAAAGAAGACTATCCTGCCATTCATGACAACATGATTGAACTTGAAGGAGAGTATGCTAGGTGAAATAACCCAGTCACAAATGGACAAATAATGCATGATTACACTTATTTGAGGTATCTAAAATAGTCAAATTCGTAGAAGCAGAGAATAAAATAATGGTTTCCAGGGACTGAAAGGAGGGAGAAAGTGGGAATTGTTGTTCAATGGTTTTAAAGTTTTAGTTGTGTAACAGATCTAAAGATCTGCTATACAACATAGTGCCCATAGTTAACAATACAGGCTTGGGCACAGAGAAATTTATTGTGGGTAAATCTCATGGTAATTTTTCTTACAACAACAACAGCAGCAATAACAACAAAAACAAAGAGTCACAAGGAAACTTTTAGAGGTGACAAACATGTCTATTGCCTTGATTGTGATGATCATTTCATGGTTGTATGCATATGACAAAACTCATCAAATTGCATATATTAAATATGTATAGTTTTTGGTATATAAATTATAACTCAATAATGCTGATTGTAAAAGAGAAATGAAAACTAGTTTCTTGTATCTTATCACATGTTTACCATTTCTGTTGTTTTTCCTTCATATTTGAAGTTACAGATTTTCCTCTGGTATCCTTTCCCTTCAGCCTGAATAACTTCCTTTAGGACTTCTTTATAGCAGGTCTGCTCACAATGAATTCTCTCAGTTTTCCATTTGAGAATGTCTTTATTTTATTATTTCTTTGTGATATTTTTACTGGTATAGAATTCGGGGTTGCCAAAGTTATTTTTTTGTTGGCGTTTTTAAAATGTAACGAGAGATAGATCATGCATTCTTACAGGTCACTGTAAGTACTCTGATGTTACTCTAAGAGAAATGGGGAGCTATTGCAAAGATTCGAGCAGATGAGTGACCTATCTATATTTGAAAGCTCTCATTGGCTGCTGTATTAAGAATGTTCTGTAGGACGAGCAGGGAAACCATTTAGAAGGCTATTACAGTATTTCATTGAGATGAGGGTGGCTTGAACAAAGAGATAGCAATGGTCAAACTTTAGGTCAATCTTTTAGTTAGGACCAACTGAATTTTTGATGGATTTGACGTGAATAGTGAAAGAAAAAAATAAGAGTCAAAGATAACTCTGAGGCTATGGGCAGAGATTCTGAAAGAATGAGATGCTGTCAATTGAATAACAAAAGGTAATAGAAGCAGCATGTTGGCAGTGAGAAGGAAAAAGATCAGGAGTCCAGTACTGGTCACACTAATTTAAAATCCTGACCCTCTTCAATGCGGTATTTCCAAGCAGAAGGAGGATAGTCATACAAGTCTGTCTCTTCTAGATCTTGTCTGATGTAACCCAGTAGTAAAAGAAGGAACGTGTTGAAGTCTCTGTTTCTTCCCTGGAGTAAGCACTCCTCATGGCTTGTCCTTCCACCTTTCTCACTTTCATCATAAGAGAGCTTGCTACAAACAGGTCAGGCTGTGCCCTTGAGTTGCTGAAGACCTCAGTGTCTCAGGAAGTTTGTGTTCAGCTCCTCCTGCAGTCCCAGGCACTGTGTCACTCACAGCACAGAAGTACTCAGCAGCATCGCTCACATGGGCTGATGGCTTCCTCAGGTAGAAGGAGGTTTCGCTCTTCTTAAATTCAGCCTCAAAACCTTTGATGCCTTTAACCTGGGTGGCCCCTGATAGGTCCTTGAGGAGAAGCTCAAGGTTTTGGCTGGGGTATTGGACATACCAGAAGAGAGAAGGAATTCCACTATAGGAATAGTTGCACTTCAGTTCCAGAGGGTCTCTTTCAGAGACAATGATGTGGCCATCAAGCTGGGTCACCGACTGGGCTCTGGTTCCTCCTGCAACATCAAACTCTGTTAGTGAGACCAGAACAGATCTACCTGTAGTGAGACAGAGTCTCTATTTAGATTCCGATTGGAACAATGTGCCTTGTATGGAGACGGGAGCAGGGAAACAATATTATTATACTTACTCAGTGTGAAGAACATTCCAAGCAGTAGAATGACCACTAAGAGCATGGCTAGGCAGTGAGGAGGCTGAGAGCTCTATTCTAGAAGATCTCCTGAGTGGGAAGGAATGTGCCAGAGGATGGTGAGTCCTTATAATGGGGAAAATCTAGGATTCAAGAGTTTCCTGTTTAGTAAGGCCTAGAGACCACTAGTAAGAGCTGCTCTCTTGACAACAGCCCCTCTGGTGTTGATCCTACTCAGAATGTGCACCTCAGTGAGCTGTCAGATATAGCCTCTCAGGAAAGACAGAACTCTTCTTAGCAGAGACATTTCCAGTCTATGAAACATTGCCCTCTGGAGGTCAAATACGGAAACACACTCAGTCTTTCGGGTTTGTGCTCCATTTCCTTGGTTTAAATTTCTTAGCAGAATAATCTGATGGCGGTGTTTTCCGGGGTCCGCTTATGAGGAAGCTATTTTAATCTTATAAAGTAAATAATATTATTTAATCCTATGAATTAAGTAGTATTATCATCCTCATTTTACAAACGGGGAAACTAAAGCATGGAAGAAAAGATTCCATTTGTCCAAGACCATAGTAAGTGTTAGTGATGTAGGTAATCTCCAAAACCAGCCCAACAGGTTTCCTGGCTTCACACAGGAAAGAATTCATGAGTGAGCTGACAGAGCAAAGTGAAGGCAAGTTTATTGGAGCTACAGAGCACAGAAAAGTGGTTGCTCCATAGACAGAGTAATAGCAGCAGCAGTGAGAGCCCTTGTGGATTGTTGGATAGATATATGTATGGCTATTCTTTGATTATATGCTACATAATAAATAAATCCATGAATTACCTGGAAAAGGAGCCCTGAACTGAGGGTTCCTCGCCTTTTAAGCCGTATAAGGTAACTTCTGGGGGTTGTCATGGCATTTGTAAACTGTCATGGTAGTGGTGGGAGTTTCATTTAACATGCAAATGTATTATAATTAGTGTATAATGAGGAGTGGGGCCAATCAGAGGTCACTTTCATCTCCATCTTGGTTTTAGCTGGTTTTGGCCGCTGTCTTCGGTGCATCCTGTGTTGATCAGCTTCTGCTTTGTTCCAGTGCTCAGAAAACAAGTCCTGCTGATCTGCTATCTCAACAGAATTGGAGTTTGTCTCATCAGTATGATTTAATAATCCACATTATTGACCACTGATAACTATTGCATATTTTACACTATAGCCCTTTATAGTAGATCTTATTTATACTGAACAGACAGGAAATCAAGTCTTTATGAAGTTAAGTAATTTGCCCAAGGACACCCAAGGATTAGAATCCAATTCTTTTCCACTCCAAGCTCAGTTCCTTGCCCACTATGTTATCTGTGATATAGCACTACCCTATGAGACTAGATGCAATTTTACCAAGACAAATGCTTAGAGCAAAATTTAGAAGAGAATAGGGACTTAAAAAAATCCTCAAGGAACCCAAACACTGAAGGTATAGATGGTGGAAAAAGTACTTAAGAAACCTCGAAGCTGGGCACAGTGGCTCACGCCTGTAATTCCAACACTTTAGGAGGCAGAGGCGGGCGGATCACCTGAAGCCAGGAAGTCAAGACCACCCTGGTCAACATGGTGAAATCCCATCTCTACTAAAAATAGGAATAATTAGCCGGGCCTGGTGGCTTGTGCCTGTAGTCTCAGCTACCTGGGAGGCTGGGACATGAGAATCACTTGAATCTGGGAGGCAGAGGTTGCAGTGAGCTGACATCATGCCACTGCACTCTGGCCTGGGTGACAGAGTGAGACTCCATCTCAAAAAAAGAAAGAAAGAAAGAAAGAAAAAGGAAACCTAAAGAGTATCCAGGGAGGTAAGTGGCAAATCAGAAATGGCTGGATTTCTTAAAGAGAAGGAAAAAGGAATTCTAAAAAGAAATGAATGGCTAACAGAGTGAGTGGTAAATAAATGTCTATAAGATGATAACTTTTCAATGTCTATTGATTTTTTATTGGTGCATAATAATTGTACATATTTATGAAGTACATGTTACATTTTGACACATACATACAACGTGTAATTATCAAATCATGGTAATTGGGTTAACCATCGTTTCAAACATTTATTATTTCCTTGTGTTGACAACATTCCAAATGTAACTATTTTGAAATATACAATAAATTATTGATAACTATAGTCACCATACTGTGCTATTGAACTATTGCTTTTTTTAATAACACAAAAATCATAATTTTGATCTTTGCAGCAAAAGGTCAACTGCAGTGGGAAGAGGCATTGTGATGAGACAAGGAAGAAAAAATTTGAATATAGAAGTCTCCTTCTAGAGATTGCCGGATCATCTGCAGAGGAGAAAAGAGTCATGATGTTAAACTGGATGAGGATGCTGAAGTGGTAATGGTAGGATTTATAAAAATTGGGGTATATTTACATGCTTTTGGAAAGAATGTATAAACAATGGATCAAAATTCTGAGGAGACAGATGGGATTGGAATATGGATTACGGGTAGAAGAACAAAGTTTTGATAGGAAGAAAAACAGTTATTTTCAATTTTATTGAAATGAAGGAGAAAAGGATTACAGTAGTTAGATTTAAGTGATTCTTTGGAGTGTGAAGGTAGAAATGTGAAACACCTACTACCTTCTAATGGGATCTTTTTTCTTGTTATAAACAGAGATTAAATGTCTCCCAAGAGAGTGAATGGAGGAGGATCTGGGTTAGGAAGTCTGAGGTATGTGAGAAGTTTTGAAATAGCCCAGTAGAAATGTAATCACAGTGAGATGTGATTACAGAGAAGAAGAATACTTTCCTGGAAACACTGTGGGCCTAGTTAGTGTTGAAAGTAACAACATTTATTTATTTATTGTTATTATTATTTGAGACAGAGTCACACTCTGTTGCCTAGACTGGAGTGCTGTGGCATGATCTTGGCTCACTGGGACCTCTGTCTTCTGGGTTCAAGTAATTCTCCTGCCTCAGCCTCCCGAAAAGCTGGGATTACAGGTGTGTGCCACCATACCTGGCTAATTTTTTGTATTTTTATTAGAGATGGGGTTTTGCTGTGGTAGTCCGGCTGGTCTCAAACTCCTGTCCTCAAGAGATCTGCCCACCTTGGCCTCCCAAAGTGCTGGGATTGCAGGCGTGAGCCACTGCTCCTGGGTGGTAACAATATGTTTTAATGACACCAATCTGCACATCTGTGTACTCTGATCAGACAAGAAATGCATTGTAATAAGGAAGATATGGATTCATGATTGGGAATTAATTAGATCACTGCTATGATGCAGAATTGGCATGAGAATAAAAGAGTTAATGACTAAAGATTGAAAGCAACAGGTCATAGAATCTAAGCATTATAGGTAAGAAAATAAAAGATAAGAAGCTTCTGAGAAATAAGTTGAAAATAAAGGGGAACAAAGCTGGAGGCATCACATACCCCAACTTCAAACTATACTACGAGGCTACAGTAACCAAAACAGCATGGCATTGGTACAAAAACATATACATAGACCAAAGGAACAGAATAGGTAACTCAGGAATAAGGCTGCCCATCTATAACTATCTGATCTTTGACAAAGCTGACAAAAACAAGTAATGGGGAAAGGATTCCCTATTCAACAAATGGTATTGGGATAACTGACTAGATAAATGCAGAAGATTGAAATGGGACCCCTTCCCCACACTATCTACAAAAATTAAGTCAAGATGGATTAAAGACTTAAATGTAAAACCCAAAGCTATAAAAACCTGGGAAGACAACCTAGCAATACCATTCTGGACATAGAAAGGGGCAAAAATTTCATGACAAAGATACCAAAGGCAATTGCCACAAAAGCAAAAATTTACAAATAGGATCTAATTAAACTAAAGAGCTTCTAAACAGCAAAAGAAACTATCTACAGGGTGAACAGACAATCTACAGAATGGAAGAAAATTTTTGCAAACTATGCATCAGACAAAAGTCTAATATTCAGCATCTACAATGAACTTAAACAAATTTACAAGAAGAAAAAACCCTAACAAAAAGTGAGCAAAGGACATGAACAGACACTTTTCAAAAGAAGTTTGTATAAGACATACATGCAACCAACAATAATATGAACAAAAGCTCAACTTCACTGATAGTTAGAGAAATGCAAATTAAAGCCACAATGAGATTCCATCTCACACCAGTCAGGATGGCTATTAGTAAAAAGTCAAAAAATAACAGATGCTAGCAAAATTGCAGAGAAAAAGGAACACTTATATACTGTTGGTGGGAATGTAAATTAGTTCAACCATTGTGGAAGACAGTATTCCAATTCCTCGAAGATCGAAAAACAGAAATACCATTTGACCCAGCAATACCATTTCTGGGTATATACCCAAAGGAATATAAATCATTCTATCATAAAGACACATGCTCGTGTATGTTCACTGTTCACAATAGCAAAGACATGGAATCAACCTAAATGCACATCAAAGACTGCATAAAGAAAATGTGGTATACATACACCATGGAATCCTATGCAACCATAAAAAGAAATGAGATTATGTCCTTTACTGGAACATGGGTGGAGCTGGAGGCCATTATTCTCGGCAGACTAACTCAGGAACAGAAAACCAAATACTGCACATTCTCACTTATAAGTGGGAATGAAATAATAAGAACCCATGGACACAAAGAGGGAAGAACACACACTGGGGCCTACTTGAGGGTGGAGGGTGGGAGTAGGGATAGGATCAGGAAAAATATCAAATGGGTACTAGGTTTAATAGCTGGGTGACAAAATAATCTGTACAACAAACTCCCATGACACAGAATTACCTATATAACAAATCTGCACGTTTACCTGTATAACAAACCTATTTTAAGTTCAATACCCCTGAACTTCACACAAAAGTTAAATAAAAAAAGAAAAAGAAAAGAAAGGTGTCAAGGGACTAGATGACCATTATAGTCAAAGAACAAGTACAATGTGAATAACAGAGGGTGAGAATCTCAGGGTGGGAGGTTTTAGACTGCAGGTAAGATTTCAGAGGTGGAACAGCACATTGTCATAAGACCTATCTGGATGGTGGCTATGG